ATGTTGAAAGATACTCAAACTCCAGGAGTTTTGGACAGCTGAGTCCGCATGAAGTGTTGACATAACGTCTTAGCTAAGCAGATGGCAGCTCAGACCACTAAATGTTCCTGTGCTAATTAGTTTTTACATGCTGAATTATTTCTGCAGCGATCGCTCTTGATAGCATCATAAAAGTTTTGTCAAGAAAGAAATAAGGCTCAGTTTTAAAGTAGAAAACATGCATTTCTTGAATGTTTATTGCCTGTCACCTTACGTGCCATTGTTTTAAACAAAAGTCTTGCATGGCCTGTGATTGCTCACAATGTGCGATGTGAATGACTCTCAACTACTACCACACTAAATTTTAACACAAAACCTGTAAAATTGTCTGACAAGCTGTGATGGCCATCTCAAATTACCATGACTCCGAGAATTAATCAGTTGTAGATGTACACCTATTGATTATTTTCTGCAAGTTTCCTTAAAGTCTGCTCACTAGTTTATAAGATATTTTGATAAAAGACATAGTTGATTCTAATAGTCATTGCCAAAGTTTCAAACAAAATTACCGCATGCTCAGTTGGTGCTTATCGAATGAGGATTACTTTCAGCTACTAACACGACAAATTATTTTTTTTTTTTAAAGATTAACTTATAACTAATTTTATGCTTGCTAAGTTTGAGTAGCTGTGCCTGCCTTCTTGAATTGGATTGACTCTAAAAATTAATCAGTTACAGATGTACATCCAATGATTACATTCTGTGAGATTCAATAAAATACATCCACTGGTTCATGAGATATTTTGCTAACAGACAGGCAAAACCCCACACACAAATTCAGGAAATCACATAAAAGACATGCAATGAAAATCTCATTCATGTGTTTTAAATTTGATGTGCAGATGTGCAGTTTTACAGTTTTCTACCTTTTCAAACCTTGTTGTACATTAGAAGAGAAAACGACAATATTTTAACCTATATTCTGATGGTAGTTTATTTTGGAAGTTTTGTCTTAGGAGACATAACTCAGCCACAAATATGCTCCACATAATCCACTCAGGTGCTTCACAGAGACGCATCAGCTGAAACCATTTTCAGCCTGCTGACTTGGCTTTCTGTGTTTTTCCAGTTGCTCCATAAAAAATGTTCAGAGCTGCACCTGGCCGGGTTCACGGGAGAGTCTCCACAACAACAAATGGCTTCCTACGAATCATAGTTTGGAGAAATATTCTTCCTTTTGTATTTTTTTTTAATTCAACTAAATCAAAAACAATTTACACAAGTATTTGAAACAAAAAATAACATACCTCTAACCATACTTTGTGGTCACAATAAAATAGGTTAATAACTTTCCCCATATCTCTTGAGTGAGCTATCGGACAAAACTGCAGGGTAATGGAAATTTGTAGTAATATTTCTACTTGACAGTTGCTTGACTCTTCCCAAAATAAAGGTCACTTCCAGCTGTGTTGTCTGTATGGGAATTGTGATGCTGCAACCCCTCTTCAAAATTAAAAAATACACCAGGTAACCGCGGCAACATGCTGCAAGTGTTGCACTATTATTACCAGATTTGTTTTAAGAGTACAAATATTTAATCATCTGTGCATGAGGATTAGGTGCATGCACCAATGTGCAGATAACCTTCTCCATCTTTAAAGTGACAGTTCAGGTCATTCATATTTGGATTCCATGGACATATGTTGAACAATTAATATCTTACCTGTTATAGCTAACCTTTTAAGCAAATTCAGATTAAATAAACTAAGTGTAATCCAGATCAGAATGATGAATTGATAAGGAGGGGAGTAAGATGACAAAGAGAAATGTTGCTATGTTTAAAAAGCTTCAATCTCCTGAATTAAATTGTGGTATATGGGAGCAGTATTTTTATTTCTTCTTCTTCTTCTTTCAGCTGCTCTCTTCTTCAGGGGTCACCACAGTGAACTATCTCGCACGAAGACTTGGCACTTGTTTAAACGCCAGATGCGTTAATATGGTATTATAATACAGTATTGTATAGACTAAAATAACCCAAATGGCAAATGATGGCTTGGATCAGAATAAAGACCTGAATAAAGTCCTATTTTGACCCTAAGTGGATGCAAAATTTTAGCACAATGAAAACACAACTCTTTAAATATTTTATATTTGCACACATTTTTCCAAAGTCGCTACATTAATTATAAATGAAACTTGTTTATTTTTTTTTTGCATGTACTGCAAATTAATTCAGTTAGCACAGCTAATTTATTTAAACAGCACAGTTTTTTTTTCCATGTTTGCAATAATTTCTTTGAGAAACCAGCTACTAGGGAACACGTGCAATCCCAAGCCTGGGTAAATGGCAGTGCAACTTTTCCTGCATTTACGGTAAATGTTTTTGGTAGTGCAGTTTATCTTAGAGGAAAAACTTTTCTAAAGTATACAACAATTTACTATATATGGCACAACTTATATAGGGACAAATTAAGCCAATTAGTTTAAGTCAGCAAAGCTTTTCTAGCTTTTATGGTAATTGCCATGTTTGGTCTACTTCTTTCTGCAAAGCTCACTGAGAGATACATGTTTTAAACAACAAGTGGTTGAAAGTTAAAGAAAACTGAAAGATTCATAATCTGAACATTTGCACTTTCCATGTAGTCTGAAGCAATTCTGGCAGGAATGTCAAATTATTTCTGCAAGAATAACTGCACAACGCTAAACTGAAGGTGGAAATGTTTGCAAAATAGCGTTGTCATGAACAGCTACGAACTTTATGAGGATTAAGCTGTTTTAAAGTTGCACCAATCTACTTTGATCTTGACAAAGTCATTAGCTTGTCAGTCCCCCTTGTTAAATGAGCTTTTTACAATAAATAGAAGTTCACAACCTCTCCAAAGAATGTCATCAAAGGATCAGAATCAACACTTTAAATATGCCAAACGCAGTAAAGAGTGTTTTCTTGAAAGTCCTGATCTAACTGATGAAAGAAAAATCCCTCCCTGCTTTGTACCTTCATAAAAAACAAGAGATGAAGCAGATGTACGTACTTTGTAGATAAAGGATAATTAGTAGGTTGGAGCTTGCATTGGAGTCAAAAACAGCTACGTCCTTAAAGAATGCAGAAGAAGGAACATGTATGTGCATGAACACAAACTCCAAGCATGTTGACTTGGACAGCAGAGTTTTTTTTTTCTGCACTTGCTCCGCTTGCATCTGGTCCTCATCTGGACCTGTGGGCTGCTTGGACATCCACCAATCCAAGCACAACGAGAGCCACTGACAACATGGCAAAGCTCAAAGCTGCCAGTGGCTGTCTCTGCACATGCCACTAAGGGATGTATGTGAGCGTTGACATGGAAACAACATGTGTGGAACGTCTTATTGGATGAAGAGTACCACATGTGCACAGGAACCCTGCTCCAGTTTGTACTGGGCTCTTATGTGTTGATTAATGTGAAACGAGATAGATGGTAAAGGAACAAAGAAGTCAAAAAACTCAAAAACACTTACCGTAGTTTTCAGACTATAAGGCGCGATAAGCGAAACAAAACAATCAGATACTGTAAGTCAAACTTTATTAAACTTATTCACAATAACTCTTAACATTGTTCAGTTGTACCACATAACATTGGTTCAAGGTCAATAAGCAGAACCAGAATTCATACATAAGGCACACTGGTTTATAAGGCACACTGTCTGTTTTTGAGAAAATTAAAAGGATTTGAAGTGCACTTTATAGTCCAAAAAAATTAATACCCCATTTTCAATCACAACTTTTAACTAAAAATAATGGTATCGCATTTGACATCCCTTTTTACAAGCCTGGCTGAGAGTTTTATCTGTAATCACACAATGTCCAAAATGTCTCGAAGAGTTCTGACTGACATGTTTAATTTCTCCTTTAATTTTTTTTTATATATAATATTTTTGGATAAAAAAAAAAGTTTTTTGAATTCTGTAAAATAAAACCCATCGTATATATTTTAAAATGATGGCCACATGTTAGACCTCAGACGTTTATTCGTTTATAACAAGTTTTTCATGGTGACACATCGCACACAGTAAAGGCAAATGTTTTTGTAGTTGTGATTTCATGAGTTCTGTCTGAGTTAAGAAGAAAAACTGAGAAATTACAGTAGTATGACAAAATACATTGTGCTGTTTGATTCATTTGGTGTTCAGTCTAAAAAGAACTGATGAGCTGGGAGTCAGGATGAGCTGCACAAATATAGTGCAAAACTAAACTAATCTAAAATACAACATGCATATATCCTACCACCTTATGCCAAAGTTCATAATAAATATGTGATACAATTTGTTATCACTTAGAGTATATCTTGAGGAAATGTCTCAGCTGGCACACCAATCATCAGCTCAATATAGTTACAAATATTTTTGTGTTAGCTAAAGTAAATTTGAGCTTGCAGCCATTCTGAGCTGGGCTGACTCCAATCAGTTGTAGATGTGCATCCAATGGTTATTTTCTGGGAGCTTCATTAAAATATGTCGACTGGTTCATGATGTTTTGCTAACAAAGACACATAAACACTGAGACACAGTTATATGATTGCTCATTCTTCACTTTTTCAACTTTCATGATTGGGATGGAAAATAAAAGTCAAGAATTTAATATTGGATGTAACAAAATTTAGATTAGTTTATCTCTACTGAATGTAAAAAAAAAAAAACTTTTTGATAATAAATCCTTAAGGAGTTTGAGGAACTGAAAGCAGTGAAGAGATCAAATCTGGTTGTATGTAGGTGGGTGATTGGGAAAAAGAACAAATAATAGGAAAGGTTTTATTAGAGCACTTATAATCCAGCTGATTAATTCTTCATGGCACAGTTCTATAATCTCTTTTTGGTTTTTATGCTATATCAGTCAAAATGTAAACATAAGGAACATTACTAAAAACATTAACATCTAAAAAAAAAGTAATAAAAAAGAGCATATGGTTTTCTATTAAAATTTGTCATTTAATGTTTTCAGAAATACAGAACTCTCTGCTTCTGTTTGTTAAATCTGGTGTTTGCAGATTGGGGTTGCTGCAATGGACGACCAGTGTGTGTCCCACAGTAGTCCTCAGGGCGGAGGAGGTCAGTCCAGCACTGAGGTTCAAAGGTCAGATGTCATCAGGTGTGGGTGGCTCAGGAAGCAGGGGGGGTTTGTCAAGACTTGGCACAGTCGCTGGTTTGTGCTGAGAGGGGATCAGCTCCACTACTACAAAGATGAAGAGGAGACCAAATCCCTGGTAAGGCTCTTTGTTCACTGAACAACTAATACTCAGCAATGGTTACCAAAGTTGAAGGTCAGAACCCATTTTGGGTCTAAAAACACCAATAGAGGACCTCTGAAGAAGATTAAAGGAAATTAAATTTGCATGACATTAACAAAGACAAAATAATTGGATAAACATTAAAAATTGCTAATAAGGCTTTTAGGAATTGCTGTTAGTTTTATTGTGTAGGTCTAAAATTGAAAACTTTGGTAACCACTGACCACAATGTATTAAAACAGGAAGTCTGATTTTTTATGTTATATCCAGAGCATTCAGACATATATTGAAAGGATGGACATTTAGGTTTAATTCTATGGATGTTTTCAACAAATAGCTGTTTTCTGTAGCCCTTCCTGCACAGCTTGGAACACCTCAGGCAGTAATTTCATACTTTTTCTGCTGGAAGAATCATGTAATGTGACACTGACAGGTTTTGTTTTTTTTAAACATTGCTAGAATTCCAAAAATATGACGAGTGGTTTCTAATTTCTAATCGCCTCATGATCCATGATACAGTTTAATTTCATGTGTAAATGGACTGTATTGATATAGCACCTTTCTATCTTATAAAGATACTCAAAGAGCTTTACACTACAATCTGTGCCTCATTTATCCATGTACATGATCTCTACAAAGCTAATTGAACAAATCATTCTAAAGAGACTAATCAGAGCTTTATCACATTCATACACTGATGGGACACACATCGGAGGCAATAAGGGGTTCAGTGTCTTGTCCAGGGACACTTCGGCTTGTGACTGTGGTGGATTCAAACCCCCAACTCTTGCATTGAAGTACGACTGCTCTAACCACTCAGCTACAACCACTCTATACCCATCTGTTATTGGTGGGAATATTTAAAAAAAAAATACTCATTGCACATTTTAGGGCGACTGGCAATCTTTGGCTCTGCAGATTTATTTTATTCATTTGTTTTCCTGTTTGTAGTTTCTTTCTCATATTTTTGCAAACAAACTACTTCTGCATAGTTTGTGTTGTTTCACCCGCTCATGTATGAAAACATGTGACTCTGCACAACATTTAATATTTGTGACTTTTGGATGGATGGATGGATGGATGGATGGATAGATGGATGGCTGGATGGATGGATGGATGGATGAAAATGATGAAGAAGGTGATGATAAATATGATGATGATGATGATGAAGAAAAAGATGATGATGAAGATGATGAAGAAGATGATGATAAAAATGATGATGAAGACAACGAAGAGGATGAAGATGAAGAAGAAGAAGAAGATGACGATGATGATGATGATGAAGACTGTGATGACAACAGCGACAATGATGATACATTTTACTTGAAGGCGCCACTTGTGCCACTTAAGGACACCACACAATAAAATACAATTAAAAAATGCAGTTAAAAAAACAAAAGAACAAAACAACTAAAGGAACAATAATAACACCATACAGGTGCATATATAACACACATCATACATATCAAATACAGGTAGTGTGACCAGGAGGTTAAAGTGAACATGCCTGATTAAAAAGGAGAATTTTGATGCAGGATTTGAAAATCAAGATAGTGGGAGAGTTTTTGATGTCCCGGGGGAGAGAGTTGCTCTTGAATGGTCAGACGAGCAGGTGGTTGGGTGGGTTGGGTGGAGGAGGAGAACCTGAGATTCTAGATGTGATGATGTGGAGAAGTTCTGTGAGATACTGAGGGGCAAGGCTGTTGAGGACTTTGAAGGTGAGGAGCAGGATTTTGTATGAAATGTGATATTTATTGGGAAGCCGTTGAAGATTCTGCATGGCAGGGGTTATACAACTGAAGGGGTTCTGGAGGAGATGTGAGCGACTGAGATTTGGACCAGATGGAGTTTATGGATGGATTTTGTATGAAGTTACAGTAATCTAGACGGGATGTGACCCAAGAGTGAATGAGAATGGCAGTACTGTTGGATGAAAGAGATGGTTGGAGGCGAGCGATGTTACGGAGGTGAAAGTAGGCTGAGCGAGTACTGAAGTACTGAAACGGGATTGAAATGATAACGTGTTGTCTAGGATGACACCCAGACTCAACCTGGAGGGAGGGAAAACTGAGGGGCTGTCGATGAGAATGGAAGAGTTGCTGTTTTTTGCAAGAGTGGGTTTGGTGCCATTGAGAAAAACTGCTGTGGGTGGGAGGGTGGAGGTGGGGGTGATGGAAGGATAGAGCATCCACGTAACAATGGAATTAGATGTTATGTTTAGAAGATATTGCCAAGCGGGAAAAGGAGAGAGCTGACGACAGAAACCTTGTGGAACACCGGAGTAGAGAGGTGGTAGATAAGACTTTACTGAAAAAAACTTTGAACTTAGAAATATACAAAATAAACTAGTTAAGGGGTGTGTCTGAAATATCAGTACATGAAAGATATTCAAGAGGATGGTTGTGAAATGGTGTCAAAGGCTGCACTTAAACCAAGGAGGATGAGGACGAGGGTTAGGGTTAGGTGGAGTTCAGAGTCAACAGCTGTGAAAATGTTTTTTTTTGTTTAATTTATAAAAAAATAAACCATAGGAATATATTGTGGTTGTTTTAATTCCTTCTAAAATATTGTTCTTTTTTAAATATATTTCATCAAACTTCCTTTTTTGTCTTTTTGTTCTAGTTTTGGCTTTTCTACTTAGTTTAGCTAGTGTTGAGTTTTTATTGCCTTCTTACTCTTCTGATGAATTTAACTTGCGTTGTGGTTGTTTCAGGTTTGTTTTGATCATTTTAACTTCAACAGTTCAATTTCAGCTTCCTCAGCAAATTTCAACAACAAATTTTGCAGAAGATGCAAATTGTCTTGTTTCTTTCCTTTTATCTAAATGTTGTTCCCGTTTTATCAAACTGGTGAAAGTGCATGAATGTGTTTTATCTCTCTGCTTGTGTTTTGTCACGCTGCAATGCACTGAACACTCAGGGCCTCAGTAAAATCCTGCAGATGCATCTTGCATAAGGGACAATGAGATAAAATGATCCAAAGATCAGATTTAGATGAGTCAGACTGTTTTGACTGGTTGAGCACCAGTCAAAGAAAAGAGCTGTGAGCTTGGTTTCATTGATGCGAACGCACAAAGCTTTTCTTGAAAGGAGGGGGGAGAGAATGAGTAATGCAGACATTAAGGCCATTTCTAACGTTACTGTTACCAGGCAAACACTCTTTCCTAAAAATCTGAACAAAAAAACAGAAGGATAAAAAAACAACAGACGGACTCAGGGTGTGCGTGATGAAGCAGAAATCACAAAAATCTAAAAAATGTTTTGTGCAGCTCAGATGTTTAACTTTCATTTGTATTGATTTTACACAATTTAGCACTTCTTTACATACTTTTACCCTAATCTTTCTTTAAATGTCAATTATAGAGGCTTACCCTTTTGCCTTTACAGCATTTAGAAGTAGCTCTGTATTGTATCTGCACAAATACACAAAAGACTAGATCCTACTTGAATACTGGATCATCCAAGCAATGCCTTCATTTTCCAGAGAAAACTTGAGCACAACATCTTTATTTAAAAAACAAAACAAAACTGAAATGAGTAAAACTGAAGTCATATCTGCAGCAAGGGCCCCTGACGTAGACCTGAAGTTAGGCTACTGGCCAAGCAGAGGGAGAGGAGCTATTCTCTGATGTTTATGAGGAGGTTCTTGTTCAGTCAAAGTCAAAGTTTCTTTATTTGTCATTCTAGCACATGTGGTACATGTGGTGGAACAAAACTGTGTACACAGGGTCCCAGTTACATACAACAAAAGTATAAAATGTGAAAGAAAAACACTAATAAGATCTAATACATGAACTAAGAAAAACGTTAACTAAAAATACACTAAGCACTAATAGCATAAAAATAATCAAAACAATACACCAAACAGCAGCATGAACATGAGTCTGTGTGAGCAGATGAGCACGAATGAACACAGGAACATGAAACAAATCAGCAGCAACATGAAACAAATCAGCAGCAGCATAATGTAATTTTTCACAGTGATTATTCAGGTTATAAATTCATGAGTCTAACAGCCTCAGGGTAGAAGCTGTTCCTCAGTTTATTGGTTCTACACCTAATGCTCCTCAATCTCCTGCCTGAGGGGAGGGGGGCAAAAAGTGTGTGTGCTGGGTGAGTGGGGTCCTTCATGATGCAGGTGGCCCTCTTCCTACATCTGGAGGTGTAGATATCTGGGGAGGCTGACTCCAACATCTTCTGTGCAGCCTTCACCACTCTCTGCAAAGCTTTTCTTTCTGCAGCTGTGCAGCCTCCATGCCACACATTGATGCTGGAGCACAGGATGCTCTCCACTGCACACCTGTAGAAGGAGGTGAGGACTGAGCTTCCCAGACCAGCTCGTCTCAGCCTCCTGAGGAAGTAGAGTCTCTGATGAGCTTTCTTGATCAGTCAGGTGGTGTTGTTACTCCAGCTGAGGTTGTCAATCATGTCTACACCTAAGTACTTCTAGCTGGAGACCACTTCCACAGCAGATCCTCCTATATTCGGGGGCGGGGGTGGGAGTGGGGGGGGTGTTTGTTCCTTCTGAAGTCCACAACTATCTCCTTCGTCATCTTCACAATGATGTGAGGGCTATTTTTCCTGCACCTGCTCTCCAGGTGTTCCACCTTCTGCGGTCTGTTTGTTAAGAAGTCTAGGACCCATTTGCAAATGGTGGGGCTTAAGGCTCCAGTATACATGTGCATCCTGTCAGCTGCGCAGAAATTGTGTGAACCATCTGCAGAGGGTTCAGACGTCATACTCGAGCGTCCACCTTGAGCGGCTGAAGTCAGCTCCACAGACAAGGGGCGTTTACCTTCAGGACAAACTGAGGTCGCCGATTAGTCATTTGCTGACACGCCTACTAGATTGATTGACAGGTTGCAAAAACAAACAAACAAACAAAAAAAAAAAAAGAGAGCTGGCAGCCCCAGCCACAGCGGTGTTCTGTGTTTATATGCTGTTAATAAAAAGTTCTAAAATAAAAAAATTTAAAAC